TAGGGTTCCAAATAGCAATGTCCAAAAGTAAATCAGAGTCCGAGGCAAATTATTGCTCAAAGTTCCAATTGATGAAGAGAGCCACGTTGGCACATCTGGGAAAACCCGAAATCTGAAAGCTTCCCGGTTTTCCCCACCCAGTTGAAAGTTCAAGATCTTGCCCCCCACACCCACAAGTCCATCCCGTGGTCCAATCTCCCACTGCCACGCTGGCAGCTTCCACTCATCCAGTTCCGGTCAGGTGCAGAGGTGCAAAGACAAAGGATGACCTTGGCTTTCTAGAAAGAATGTTGTTATGGCTACATGTCATCTAACTCCCCATTTTCCCACAATAGAAAATGCATAGTAGAATAACAGTAAGTGTGGTAGGTCAAAGATCCAAAAGAAAAGATGGCTGCCAGCCTGACAGTAAGAATGAATGCGTGTCTCTTTATACGGCTTGGTGCGTTAGGTGGGTTTCTTTCTCGGCCCGTTATGCAGCAGTGGGCGTCCCGCTCCCTTATCTGATGGTTTCCCCCCCCCCCTTCTCCCAAGGGCCATTACATCAGAAGAGGGAGCTTCTGTTCACACACAACCATTTTTGATCATGGTGGCCACCTTCATGCAACGGGTTAGATTTGATGAACTTTTGAGGAAGAAACTTAAATCTTGGGGGTTCCTAAAGGCATTTTATCCATTTCGTGGTTCAAAACGCTGGCTGGTTCAGGAACTACCCTATTTTTTCGGAGGATAAGACGCACCAGAGTATAAGACGCGCCAAGATTTTGAAGAGGTACATTAAAAAAAAAAAAGGTTTTGCACTCTGCAGGCTTCCCAAACCCTCGGCACGCTTCATTTGTTTTTGTGAAAAACGGGGCACGCAGAGAGTTTGAGAGGCCTGAAAAATGCTCCTGGGGGCTGGGGGGGGGGCGAAAACAGGCAAAAACAGGGCATGCATAGGCTTTGGGAGGCTTGCTCCTGGAGACTGGGCAAAAACGAGCAAAAAACGGCCTGTTTTTTCCCCCCCAAAAAGGGAGTGCGTAGGCTTTGGGAGGCTTATAGAGTGTTCCTGGAGGCTGGATAAAAACAAACAAAAATGCCCATTTTTTGCCCCCCAAAAAGGGAGTGTATAGGCTTCGGGAGGCTTATAGAGTGCTCCTGGGGACTGGGCCAAAACGAGCAAAAAAACGGCCCGTTTTTCACTTGTTTTCGCCCTCCCCAGACCCCAGGAGGCCTCCCAAAACCTCCGTGCACCCGTTTTTGCGAAGGGAGCAGGGTTTCGGGAGGCCAAAATTTCTGTATTCAGTGTATAAGAGCAACCCAGATTTCCCCCCTCTTTTTTTGGGGGGGAGGGAAAGGTGCGTCTTATACTCCGGAAAAAAAATACGGTAGTTTGCGCACGACGAAGGCTGTTAGGGGAACGCTGGCCGCCCAAATTTTCTTGGTCTTACCTGAGGATGGAAAAGCAACGGGGAGGGCCTCAGGTATTTCTCCTTTATTGCTCCGACTGAGTCAGCCACTTTCCGCTTCTCCACCCTGCTGGACCACAAGAGAGAGGGTTACGTACCTCACAGAAGGAAATCCTTTTGTACACTTTTTGGAAAAGGAGGAGGAGAAGGCAGTCTAGTTATTACATTTCCTTTGAGGAAACACAAAGCCATCAGTTGCATGAAGAGAGGGATGCAATCAAGATCAAGGGAAGTACTAACACCACTCTATAAAGCCCTTAGTAAGGCCACACCTAGAGTACCGCATCCAGTTTTGGTCACCAGACTATAAGAAAGAGGTGGAGACTCTGGAAAGAGGGCAGAGAAGAGCAACCAAGAGGATTAAGAGACTGGAGGCTCAAACCTACGACGGACGGTTGCAGGAACTGGGCCTGGCTAGTCTAGGGAAGAGAAGGACCAGGGGAGACAGGAGAGCATCTCCCAATATTTTTAATCGCAAATTCCCAGGGTCGGATTCTCAAATCCGTTGTGTTCTCCTCCTCCCCTCTTCGTCCGTCCATCATACAGCTGAAGGCTACGCGGTCTCTTATCGGAGCAGGTCCCTAGGTAGCATCCGGTGGTGAAATCTAAATTTTTTTCCCTACCGGTTCTGTGGGTGTGGCTTGGTGGTGGTGGGGGCAGTCATGTGACTGGGTGGGAGTGGCTATGTAGTCATGTGACTGGGAGGGGGGTATCGAAAGACAGAAACTCACTTTAACAATGTCCTGCTGGAGCAGGGGGTTGGACTAGATGACCTCTGAGTTCCCTTCCAGCCCTGGATTGCTGTGCTCTTTCAAGGTATCCTCTGAAGCTGCGTTTAGTGCCAGGTTTCTGGTCCTCCCTCCCTCTCCTTTTCCCTCCCTCCCTCTTTCTTTTGAAGCATACCCTCCTCCCTGCTTTTTAAAGCAGCTTTTTCCCCTGCCTATTTGCCTGAATCGGCAGGAAAAAAAATGCTTTAAAAAGCGGAAAAAAAGGTTTTTGACGAGCAACGCGATCCTCGGAAGTACTACCGGTTCGCAGAACCAAAGACAATCGTCCCTACTGGTCGTCCGAACTGCTCCGAACCGGGAGGATTTCACCCCTGGTAGCATCTCTTCCCTCCACCTCTCAAGGCCATTCACACATACAATGCCATCCCCCTCCCCTTTTGCAGCCTGATCAGTGAGAAAGGTTCTTCCCTGATTTCCCTCCCCTACCCGTTATGCATCTGAGGGCCAGGCCCTCTCTTATTCTGGCCGTTCTTAGTCAGCATCTCTTTCCTCCGTCCCTCAAGGTTTTTCCCGCAGGCCCTCACAACAACACCATCAAGGCTGAGAATGTTAATACCTGTAGATAGGGTCCATGAAGAAAGGGGAGGGCTTGGCGTAATGCAGGGAAGGCTGAGGGAGCATCTGAGCTTGGTTCATCTTGGGGACGCCGTCGCTGGCCGCCAGCTTCCTCTCGCCGTAGACGTGGTTCTTCCGGGCATCCCGACTCCCGTGATGACTGGCCCGGATGCGGCTGCTGATCGTGAGATCCAGGGGCTGCTCCTCACCGCCGTGACGAGCAGGGAGGACGTGGGCCGCTTTGCTTTCTTTCGGCTTGGTGGTGAGGTCGAAGGGCGACTCCGAGCAGGCCCCACCGATTTTGTGCAGGTCCCGGGGCGACTTTGGTTCGGCTTTGACCAGCAAACTGTGGTTGAGGGTCCGCTCCGTGAACGGGTAAACCGAGTGGGAGAAGTTGGGAAGGAACTGGAACGGGAACATGGAATGATAGGGAAGGGCCCCCATTTTTTTCTCCTGCATACCCATAAACCCGGGCCCGAAGTACTTTTCGGCAATGGAAGCGATGGCCTTGATGGAATCGTTCGTGGCCCCCATCATCGGCAGCAGCTGATCCTCGGGGGGAGGGAAGAAGGAGTGCTGGGAGTAGAAGATGGGGAGGTCGCTCGTGCTGTTGGCAGAACCGGTGGGGGCCGAACCGCTGCCGAAATCCGCCTTGCTCTCCCCGGGTTTACTTTTCTCCTTCGTTTTCTCTCGCTCGCTCTCCGCATCGCTCTCTAAGTCCGACCCGGTGCCGGTGGTGGTCTCCAGGTCGGTGCCCGTCGTGGTGTTGATGTCCTCGAAGTCGCTGGCGTCCGACAGGTCGCTAGTCCTAGCTTTGAGCTTCTCCAAGTAGGAGTTCCCCAAAGGGGCGCTGTTGAACCTCTCCTCCACGTGGAGCGGGTGGCCGCTGTTGCCGATGGCGGACATCAGCGGGAGCGGAGAGTGGCCCAGAGGGCTGGGGAGCTTGGCCTCTTGGGTGTGGTTGATGGGGCTCTTGAGCAGGGGCGCGGGGGGCAAGAGAGGAGGCCTGGGGTACAGTGAGGGAGGGAAGATCCCCGGGAACCCAGGGGCGAGAGCTGGGAATGAAGGGGGAGCGGGCGAGAACGGAATTGCTCCCGGGTGCGGCCGGGCGGGGAAGTAGTCGCCGAAGCCGAGTCCGCTATGATTGAGGCTGGGCGACGTCTTAGACTTGTCCATCAAAGAACTGGGCGTCAGAGGCAAACCTGGTGCGAAAAGGCCTCCGGGGTTATAGTGGTTCTTGCCTTCGCAGAACCGCCGGTGTTTGTTGAGCGAGGAGGTGGTGCTGAACATCTGACCGCAGTCCTTGCACTTGATCTGGGTCCGGCAGTCGGCGTGCATGCGCTTGTGTCTGCAGAGGTTGGAGAACTGCGTGTAGGATTTGTGGCAGACCTCGCCTAAAGCATCAACAGAAACCAAAAGACCAAAACCCAGTATGAAATTAATATGAAAGAACGGGGTCGGGGTGCGAGAGAAAGCGGGCGTTCTCGGTCTTTTAACCGAGGGGATAAAAAGAAAAAGAAAAGAGGTGGGAACCATTTTTAAACCGACGGGAACCAAATGGGCCCGGAGAGACGGACGACGGGACAACACCAAACAAAATTACATGGGATTTATGTGAAAGGTGTGCAGGAAGTCCTCGACTTACGACCACAAGCGAGCCCCAAAATGTTGTATTTGCTAAGTGTGACATTTGTTCTGTGAGTTTTGCCGCCTGTTACGACCTTTCCTGCCATGGTTGTTAAGCGAAACACTGCAGTTGTTGAGTAACACGGTCCTGAAGTGGCTTCCCCATCAACCTGGCTTGTCGAAAGGTCGCAAAAGGGATGTCAGCCCTGAAACTGGCTGGACTGAGGCCATTTTGAGACTTTAGCGCCGAGACATCGGAGAAGAGGTGCAGGGAGGAGGGGGGAATAGTTGAGATTGAGGTCAAAACAAAATACCTTCTCTTGGGAATCAAGGTCATCCCTGCAGATGCTTGGAGGGAGGGGACTGGGGTAACTTAGCAATGGGGCAGTATCCTGATTGGAATACGTGACTGTTTGTTTTGAGAAAGTGAGAAAAAACATTTACTTTTAATTTGGTGAAAACCGCGGGAATAATCAGAGTCGGCTTTTCACCAGCCGGTGCCAATCCGACATATCTAATGAATTTCTTCTTTCGAGGAATTTACCGGCCTCAGAGTTGGTTTTTTTGTTTTTTTGTTACAGATATTTTACTTGGAACCCTGACAAGGAAATCACGTGACCCCGGGACACCGCAACTGTCCGAAGTACATGCCAGTTGCCAAGCATTTGAATTTTGATCGTGTGTTCGCGGAGATGCGGGAAAGGTTGTAACTGTGAAAAACGGGTTATACGTCACATTTTTTCCTATGCTGTTGTAAGTTTGAACAGGTCGTTAAATGAACAGTTATAAGTCGAGATTTACCTGCACCCCCCCCCCCCTCTGTCTTCCCTCCCTTCCATTCAACCTACGGTAAAGTTGGACACCCGATACATTTGATTGATGAACAAACAAACAAATAAACAAACCTCAAGGGGTATTTTTTTGGGGGGGGGAGCACAAGGCAGTGGCTGAGGCAACTTACATATGAAAGGCTTCACAGTGCTGTGGATGTGTTTGTGCTGTTTGAGGCCAGAAGAAGTGGCGAAGGTTTTCCCGCAGTCCGGACATGCGTGCGCCCTCGCGCCGACGTGCTGGGAGCGAATGTGCCTTTGGAGGTTGCTGGGGTCCGTGAAAACCTGAGGAGGGGGCAAGGAAAACACTTCCTGAGCTTCCGAAGTGAAGACAAAGCACAGTATTTCTCGTATTGAATTTGTTGTGTGTTTGTGTGTGTTTGTGTTGATTTGATTTGACAAGCATAACCTTGGGAGATAGGCGGGAGAGCTGCAACATAGTTTGGTTGTTTCTGGTTATCTTGGCGCGACGCTCGTCTCCGTTTCTTAGCCGGGGGAGCCGGCATTGTCCAAAGACAATTTCCGCGGTCGTGCGGGTGGCTATACGCCGAAGGGCAGGGAATCAACCAAGCAGAATAGAACTGGAAGGGGCCTTGGAGGTCTTCTAGTCCAACCTCACACTCAAGCAGGAGACCCTGTAGTATTTCAGACCAGTGACTGTACGTTCTCTTCTTAAAAACCTCCAGCACCCCCTGCAACTTCTGATGGCAACTTCTGTTCCACTGGTTAATTGTCCTCACTGTTAGGAAGTCTCTCCTAATTTGGTGGGAAAGGAACACTGTCCTCTTCCCACCAAAGTGGTACCTATTGATCTACCTGCATTTGCATGCTTTAATATAAACTTTAATATGTAACAGTGTATGACCCTAAACTGAGAGAGCGGGGGAGAGAGAGGAGAGAGACAGAGAGAGAAAAGGGAAAGAGAGAAAGAAAGAGAGAAAGGAGAGAAAGAGAGAGAGAGGAGAGAGAAAGGAGAGACAGAGCGAAAGAGAGGAGAGAGACACACAGAGAGAGGAGAAACAGAGAAAGAGAGAGAGGAGGGACAGAGAGGAGAGACAGAGAGAAAGAGAGAGAGGGAAAGAGAGAGACAGGAGAGAGAGACAGAGAGAAGAGGAGAGACAGAGAGAGAGAGACAGAGAGAGGAGAAACAGAGAGAGAAAGGGAGGGAGAGAGAGAGGAGAGACAGAGAGAAAGAAAGAGAGGCGAGACAGAGAGAAAGAGAGAGAGAAAGAAAGAGAGGAGAGAAACACACAGGAGAGACAGAGAGATAGGAGGGAGAGAGGAGAGACAGAGAGAAAGAGAGAGACAGAGAGGATAGAGAGAGAAAGAGAGACAGGAAAGAGAGAGAGATAGAGAGAGGAGAGACAAAGAGAAAGAGAGAGAGGAGAGAGACAGAGAGAGAGAAAGAGGGAGGGAGAGAAAAAGAGAGAGACAGAGAAGAGAGAGTGACAGAGAGAGACAGAGAGAGTGGAGACAGAGAGAGAGGAGAGAGAGAGAGAGAAAGAAGAGAGAGAGAAAGGAGAGAGAGAGAGAGGGAAGGACACACCATTGGCCTTTGGCCCAACCTACCCGCAGTCTCCACAAGGGCCCGCCCACCCCGAGGGCCATACCTTCACGCAGTTTTCGCACTCGAATCTCTTGCCACTGTCGTGCGACATCTGGTGACGGATCAAGTTGGATTTCCAGTTGAAGGCCTTGGGACACTGGTCACACTTGTATTCCCTTTCTTCCGTGTGGATGATCATGTGCTGCTCCAAGCTGTGGGAGAAGAAGGACGGAAAACAACAGAGTTTGGAAGGGGCCTTGGAAGGTCTTCTAGTCCAACCCCCTTGCTCAAGCAGGAGAGACCCTCCTGAAAGTCTTCAAGGTTGCAAAAGACTCGTCTTTGGGGGTGTCACCATCACCTGAACGAAAGACTTTAGGCCAGTATTTTCCACCCCTACCGGTTGGGGAATTCTGGGAGTTGAAGTCCGCAGTTCTTGAAGCTGTCTGGGGAATTCTGGGAGTTCCCAGATCTTAAAGCTGTCTGGGGAATTCTGGGAGTTGAAGTCCCCAGATCTTAAAGCTGTCTGGGGGATTCTGGGAATTGGAGTCCCCAGATCTTTAAGCTGTCTGGGGAATTCTGGGAGTTGAAGTTCCCAGATCTTAAAGCTGTCTGGGGGATTCTGGGAATTGGAGTCCCCAGATCTTAAAGCTGTCTGGGGAATTCTGGGAATCCCAAGATCTTAAAGCTGTCTGGGGAATTCTGGGAATTGGAGTCCCCAGATCTTAAAGCTGTCTGGGGGATTCTGGGAATTGGAGTCCCCAGATCTTTAAGCTGTCTGGGGAATTCTGGGAGTTGAAGTTCCCAGATCTTAAAGCTGTCTGGGGGATTCTGGGAATTGGAGTCCCCAGATCTTTAAGCTGTCTGGGGAATTCTGGGAGTTGAAGGTACCAGATCTTATCGCTNGGGAGGAAGAGGACGACCATGCAATGAAGATGCCATTATGGGCCCACACTTCTCCCTGTCAATTCTCCCCATCAACACAGATTGGGGGTCATTTTTATCTCCCTCCCCCCTCTCTCCAGCCTGAGCTTGGCATGGCTATCTTGCTCCACAGCCGTGGAGACTTATCAGCTGCGCTTTCGGGAGCCACGATTCTCCCCCCCCCCCCCTACTATTCTGACCCACACAAACACAGGATCTTCCTGTCCGGCTTGATCTCCCGGCTGGGGCCCCATTGAAAAAAGGAAAATGGGGGGAAGTTATTAAGCAAACTTTTCCATCCCGAGGAAAACAATGAAGCCCCTAAGTTTAGCCTTGGAAACGGCCATTCCCAAAAAGATTCCGGACCGGTACGGGAGCGCGGCCAGCCAGCGCGGGAAACAATGAGAGCCACTCCGGAAACAAAAAACCCTCCAAATTCAGCCGAGATGGACGCGAGAGATTTGGACCGGGCTGCGGGCTTTAAAACGGACCCTTTGGAGGTGGTGTCACCAGTGAAAGTGACTTTGGCAGGACATCCTGGCTGGTTTGTTCCCCTCCGCCCCCCCCACCCCCCCGGCGAAGGAAGTCTCTACCCGTTGTCCCATTTTCTGGAAAGGGAACAGGTTTCCTTCAAGCCCTGATATCATTTCCCTTCTTCCTGGCTTTCTTTCGGGAAAACGAGGGGGGCCTCGTTGTAACCTGCAGGCTTTTGGGATCCTTGCGTGATGGGTCTCCTACGAGGGCAAGATCCCCCGAAGAGATCTGGGGAGGGGGGGGGAGAATCTGGAATGGCCACCTGCAGTTATGGGGTCTGTCCGGTCGTAATTCCTTAACGCTGGACAGCCGGAGTCCTACGCTTCTTCCCTGCTCATCTGAATCTGATGTTCCTCTTCCTTCATCGCGAGCTTCTCCCATAGTTTCGCTCCGCTTTCCAAAGCCACAACTCTGAATTGCCTGATCGGAGCCAGATACCGAGGCTTCCCGAGAGCCTGAAGGAAACTCCTCATCCCGACAAAACCCCCTTTTATTAATTGACTGGGAATTCT